AGATGGATTTTATTAAAATTTTCTTTGTTGTAGCAATTGTAGTAGCAACATTTGGTATTTTCTTTGATAAAAATCTCGACCCAGTTTTGTTTCCAATTTGCGTTGTGGTCTTACCTCTCGTGTATGTGTTACTAATTATAGCAATTTATATGTAATCATGCATTTCGTTATGTTGTATTATCTATGATAATGAATAAAGCTAATATATGGCTTGTTTTTTTTTTTCCTGTTTAGTCATAATGGCAAGAATGGCTAATATCGAGTTCGAGGTCCTCGACATATCGGGGAAAAATTATCTATCGTGGCAATTGGATGCTGATTTGCACTTGGAATCAAAAGGTCTTGGTGCCACAATTAAAGAGAAAAGTGCATCAACTGAAAATAAAGCAAAAGCACTAATATTATGCAGGATCTTTGGGAAAAATTAAAAGACCGTTTTGATCATCAAAAAACGGTAATCCTCCCCAAGGCAAAATATGAGTGGATTCATCTCAGATTTCAAGATTTCAAAACTGTCAGTGAATATAACTCGGCGATGTACCGAATCACATCAGTTTTGAAATTATGTGGTGAAACAGTTAGCGAAAATGAGATGTTGGAAAAAACCTTTTCAACTATGCACGCCTCGAACATTATCCTCCAACAACAGTATCGAGAAAAGGGGTATACAAAATACTCAGAGTTTCTCTCATGTCTTCTATTGGCCGAGCAGAATAATGAATTACTGATGAAAAATCATGCATCTCGGCCGACAGGTTCTGTACCATTTCCTGAAGTAAATGTTACAGAAAATATATCATTCCCTGGAGAGAATGTTATATTTTATAATAACCGAGGACGTGGTTATTTTCGAGGTAGAGGCCGAGGTCGAGGTCGAGCCGAGGACGAGGTCGTGGCGTTAGCCGAAGTTGGAATAGAGGAGGTGGTCGAGGAATCTCATTCCAAAACCATAACAATAATAGAGGGGGAACACATGATCATCCAAACAAACGGATGAAAGAAAGCACATGTCACCGGTGTGGAATGACAGGACATTGGTCACGTACTTGTCGCACGGCTAAACACTTGGTGGACCTTTACCAAAAATCGATTAAAGAAGCGAAAGGGAAAGGTGTCGAGACAAATCATGTCATGAACAATTCGGATGATGATGCTGGTGGTGCTAAAGATTTTACACACATGGACCTCGCTGATGGTTTTGCGCATCCTGAAGATGGCGTTGATTATGAATAAAAAGCCATATATATAGTTGTATCGTTTATATATGTAATCAACCTCGTAATAATCCATATATGCATAAATAATGCGTCTACATTTTGTAAAATAGTTATGTATCTGTGTCATCATTTCTGTTAGTCATAATGTTATAATTGATATATATTTTCTAATGTTTACTATGTTATTTTGTTCTTCAATAGATAATGAGTATGGCTAAATCTGCAAATCGATGAGGATATATATGTTTAGCAGATAGTGCTACAACACATACAATACTGACAGACAAGAAATATTTTTCTAGTCTGAAAATAAACAAAGGAAATGTCATTACTATATCTGGAAATGCAAAAATAATTGAAGGCTCCGGAAGAGCCGATTTCATAATGCCAGGAGGAACAAAATTTGCTATAAAAGATGCACTATTTTCCTCCAAGTCCCAAAGAAATCTATTAAGTTTTAAAGATATCCGACTGAATGGATATCATATTGAAACCACAAATAAAGGTGATATTGAATATTTGTGTATCACCTCAATCAATATGGGACAAAAATATGTGTTAGAAAAATTACCCACTCTATCTTCGGGATTATATTATACTAATATCAATGTGATTGAATCATATGCCACAGTAAACCAGAAGTTTACCGATATGTTCAAAGTTTGGCATGATCGATTGGGTCATCCTGGTGCCATTATGATGAGAAAGATTATCGAAAACTCTCATGGTCACCCATTGAAAAACCATAAGATTTTTCAATCAGATGAGTTTCCTTGTGATGCATGTTCTAGAGGAAAATTAATAATCAGACCATCACAAGCTAAAATCGGGCATGAATTACCATCATTTCTAGAAAGGATTCATGGTGATATTTGTGGACCTATTCATCCACCATGCGGACCATTTCGATATTTTATGGTATTAATTGATGCTTCAAGCAGATGGTCGCATGTATGTCTTTTATCATCACGTAATCTGGCGTTTGCCCGATTTTTAGCCCAAATAATTAAATTAAGGGCTCAGTTCTCGGAATACTCAATCAAGAAAGTGAGGCTTGATAATGCTGGAGAATTTACATCACAAGCATTTAATGAATACTGTGTAGCAATGGGTATTGATGTTGAACACCCAGTTGCACACGTTCATACACAGAATGGATTGGCAGAGTCATTAATCAAACGACTCCAGCTTATTGCTAGACCATTGATAATGAAAACGAAACTTCCCATTTCTGTGTGGGGTCATGCCATTTTGCATGCTGCAACATTAATTCGTATTAGACCAAGTGCATATCACAAGTATTCTCCATTGCAATTAGCATTTGGTCAAGAACCTAATATATCGCATCTCAGAATATTCGGATGCGCAGTATATGTACCGATTTCCCCACCACAGCGTACAAAAATGGGACCACAAAGAAGGCTTGGAATATATGTTGGGTATGACTCACCATCCATTATACGATACCTTGAGCCAAAAACTGGAGATATTTTTACGGCTCGTTTTGCTGATTGTCAATTTAATGAGAATGAATTCCCACCATTAGGGGGAGAAAATGATAGAATGGCGGGAACTAAAAATGATCTTAATTGGTGTACACCATCATTGTCACATCTTGATCCCCCAGCAAAACAACGAGAACTGGAAGTTCAAAGGATCATACATTTACAAAACATTGCAAATCAGTTACCAGATGCTTTTGCAGATACAACTAAGGTAACAAGATCATATATAGATGCTGCGAATGTCCCAGCTCGAATCGAAATTCCGAAAGAACAAATGAAAGAAAATGTAATAAACGATTCCAAAGCACGCCTGAAGCGTGGACGACCTATTGGTTCTAAGGATAAAAATCCCCGAAAGAGCAAAGGGCCCAAGAAAAATGAAATGCTCGATTCGGAGGAACGCGTTCCAAATCAAAGAAATGAAGTACCTTATGATGATGGTATAAATACAGACAATGAAAATCATGAGATCTCAATTAATTATATCAGTAATGGTACATTATGGAGTCGAAAAGAAATCAAAGAGATTGATGATATATTCTCTTATAATGTATCAAAGGAAATTGATGAAAATGAGGATCCAGAACCAAGATCCATTTCAGAATGTCAAAAGAGACAAGATTGGATTAAATGGAGAGACGCAATACAGACTGAATTGGATTCGTTGAATAAGCGAAATGTATTCGGACACGTCATTATTAAACCGAAAGAGGTTACTCCTGTTGGATGTAAATGGGTATTTGTACGCAAAAGAAATGAGCACAATGAAATTGCTAGATATAAAGCTCGCCTTGTCGCACAAGGTTTCTCACAGAGACCAGGAGTTGATTATGAAGAAACTTATTCTCCTGTTATGGATGCGATTACATTTCGATACCTAATTAACCTTGCAGTTTCAAAGAACTTAGAAATGCGTCTCATGGATGTTGTTACTGCTTATTTATATGGGTCACTTGACACAAACATTTATATGAAAATCCCTGAAGGATTTAAAATGCCCGAAATATTGAAATCAAAACCACGAGAATTATGCGCTGTCAAGTTACAACGATCATTGTACGGGCTAAAACAATCAGGACGTATGTGGTATAAACGTCTGAGTGAACATTTAGTGAAAAATGGATATACAAATAATCCTATTTCACCATGTGTGTTTATAAAAAGGACGATGTCTGGGTTTGTGATTATTGCTGTCTATGTTGATGATTTAAATACGAAATGTAATCGCATCCATAACAGGAGAATAAGTTTCTTCATAATCAACTCCTGGTCTCTGTGAGAAACCTTGTGCGACAAGACGAGCTTTATATCTAGCAATTTCATTGTGCTCATTTCTTTTGCGTACAAATACCCATTTACATCCAACAGGAGTAACCTCTTTCGGTTTAATAATGACGTGTCCGAATACATTTCGCTTATTCAACGAATCCAATTCAGTCTGTATTGCGTCTCTCCATTTAATCCAATCTGGTCTCTTTTGACACTCTGAAATGGATCTTGGTTTTGGATCCTCATTTTCATCAATTTCCTTTGATACATTATAAGAGAATATATCATCAATCTCTTTGATTTCTTTTCGACTCCATAATGTACCATTACTGATATAATTAATTGAGATCTCATGATTTTCATTGTCTGTATTTATACCATCATCATAAGGTACTTCATTTCTTTGATTTGGAACGCGTTCCTCCGAATCGAGCATTTCATTTTTCTTGGGCCCTTTGCTCTTTCGGGGATTTTTATCCTTAGAACCAATAGGTCGTCCACGCTTCAGGCGTGCTTTGGAATCGTTTATTACATTTTCTTTCATTTGTTCTTTCGGAATTTCGATTCGAGCTGGGACATTCGCAGCATCTATATATGATCTTGTTACCTTAGTTGTATCTGCAAAAGCATCTGGTAACTGATTTGCAATGTTTTGTAAATGTATGATCCTTTGAACTTCCAGTTCTCGTTGTTTTGCCGGGGGATCAAGATGTGACAATGATGGTGTACACCAATTAAGATCATTTTTAGTTCCCGCCATTCTATCATTTTCTCCCCCTAATGGTGGGAATTCATTCTCATTAAATTGACAATCAGCAAAACGAGCCGTAAAAATATCTCCAGTTTTTGGCTCAAGGTATCGTATAATGGATGGTGAGTCATACCCAACATATATTCCAAGCCTTCTTTGCTACGTCATCTAATCACGCAGAAGTTATCGCGCTACATGAAGCAAGTCGGGAATGTGTCTGGCTTAGATCTTTGACTCAACATATCCAGACAACTAGTGGATTATCAACCAATAAAGCTCCAATAATATTATTTGAAGATAACGCTGCATGCGTTGCACAGACTAAGGGAGGATATATTAAAAGTGATAGGACAAAACATATTCCTCCGAAGTTCTTTGCATACACCCAAGAGCTGGAAAAGAATAAGGAGATTGAAGTCAGATACATACGATCATGTGATAATGCAGCAGACCTATTCACAAAAGCTCTACCGACATCAATGTTCAAGAAACATGTACATAACATTGGAATGCGTCATCTACGAGACCTTTGATCCGATATACAGGGGGAGCGTGGAACTGCACTCTTTTTCCCTTATCAGGTTTTATCCCAAGGGGTTTTACTGATAAGGTTTTTAACGAGGCAGTATAAGACACGCAAATACATTTTGATTAACCGTAGCTCCAAGGGGGAGTGTTATAAATGAATAGTGAAGCTACGGTACTGTTCACGCAGCCGGACACTGTTCACGCAGCCGGGTACTGTTCACGCCGCCATACGGTTACTGTTTAGCCGCCATACGATTACTGTTCATAAATACGTATACGTGAACAGTAACTTCAGATTTTCTATAAATAGCTCATTTCCCTCCTTCATTTGTACATAATTCCAAGAAAAGAAAATTATTGAAATCTTGTTCCTGGGTCTCTCAAACGATCGATTTCGGTTTCTAGTTAACGATCTGATTCTCGGGTCTTCTATATTTCTTCGTTTTTCACAACATATTTTACATTTATGGAAATGTATGAAATTATTTTCTTTCATTGCGTTGTCATGAGTCATTTAGGTCATCCGTTTAATTAGCATTGAATTTTTAAATATTATTCCAGTAATCAATTTTAAAATCGTCAAAAATTATTACCACCAATTTGTTTGTATATATATATATCAATTATTCACTTCTCATTCACGCATGTGATTTTTTTTAAACCATTTAAAGACAAGCAAAAATTGCAATCTTATATAATCTTATACATATTCTGTAGGTTGTCCGACAAATTTCACCTCCTCCTCGAGACTATTGTTTTCTTGAGGTACCATCTCGAAAATCCTGTCCCTTGCCTTTGCTGCCTGCAAGAAAATAACATCAAACAATTTATACATATAGAATAAAGGTGAAACATTAGGTTATAAATTTTTTGGAAGATCCAATAAACGACCAAACCATGCTTATACGGATAAATATCAATGATAAGAGTGTGTGATTAAACGAAAGTGGGATTAGGGGCAAGTGATAATACCTCGGTTTTCCAGTTAGTGAAGAGAGTGAAGAGAGCGAGAACGAGTGTTTGAAGAGTGGAGCCTGTAAGTATGCCGATCCATAGCCCCTTCCCTCTCAAATTCGCGACAAAACACAAGAACGCTCCCACCGGGATCCCGACCATATAATATGATCCTATATTCGCATATGCTCCTATGTGTTGCCATCCCGTTCCCCTTGCAATCCCTGTCGTCCAACCCAAAGACCAAAAAAGGGAACTCCAGTATCCGAAAAGAAAAAAACGATTACCCGTCGTTCTCCGAACCCAGATTCAAATCGTATAAGAAACCAAAGCGAGGAAGCAAGAAGAGGGTCTGCAGAAGCAGAAAGATGATATAGTTTCTTGGATCCCAAGAAACATGTGGATTTGTTTTTTCCCCGGAATGATCAGCTAGAAAATGTTTCGTGCATTTGATTTATTACATTCGATCTTATGATTTTGAATGAGTAGACTGTTTCTCGAAAATGGTTTTGGCATTATTCTGAAATACCACTGCGTATATGTCTCAGACAAGACCAGAACTGATATTGTTCAAGATTCAAGTTTACTGCACGCCTTATCGCAAGAAAGAGCCTTTGTATTCTATCATTTGCAGTTAACTTATTGGTTTCCCTGAATCTGAACAAACAAACTAATATCCAGAATGATTCAGTAGTGATCGTCGTGTACCTGAAAGCACGGCTAGAAAGCTGTCGACGGAGATTGAAAGGCAGAGAATTTCCGTGATCTGAGTCGCGTAATCCACCACTTCCCTCTCGTTGCTGTAAATGTATCCCCAACTGCGTCGGTAGCTGTAGAGAGCGACGCTTACTATCGTTGCGTCGAGAGCTCCGAGCAAAAGCGCAGCGTTGGCTGCTGCTCGAGCTGCTCGTGGGTTTCCAGCTCCTAGCTCTTTCGAGACGTGTGAGCTATAACCGAAGAAAAAAGGGTTCAGACCATCGATACCCGATTCACAAATCTTTGATACTCTTCATGAACAAAACCCCCAAAAACAAGATCGGAAAATGTATAAACCTTGCAGCTGCTCCGATTGCATTCACCAGAAAGTAATGCAGAGCAGAAGTTGTGAGGCTGCTCCAAAAACATATGAAAAAAAGATTATGAAACTGTCTGTATACTTAAGATTTGGATGTAATATCGATATTTTACCATATGGATATGACCGATGTTTCGAGCTTTGAGTTTGGTAAGAGTCCAGACATAAGTATCAGAAGCTCAAACGACCACCATTCTAGGCTTTATATGAAACAGGAAGAAAAACACAGTGAGGATCCAAGAAACATTGCAAAGCAAGAGTTTTCTCATGTCCGAAGAGGGGTTACGTACCAAGCCATCATAGCAGATGGAACAGCGAGGCAGATGAACTGTTTCATGCTCGAGAAGATCTCTTCCGAAGCAGGGATTAGGGTTTCGTAAGAGTTCCTCATGAAGATCCAAAGCAGGACGACGTTGAACCAATACGAAAACCCGATAGAGAGAGCTGCTCCTACGATTCCGGCTTCGAGTTTATAAACCAGAAGCCAAGAAAAGGGTAAGTGAAAACACAGAGATGCAACCGAGCTCAAGAAGAGAGGTAAAACCGATCCTTGTGATTGGAAAAACCGAGATAGCGATTGGAGAAAGGCGTAACCGAACAAAGCCGGTATTAACCAGATGGAGTATCTGCAAGCTTCTCGGGAGATCATCGGATCTTGGTGGAAGAATTCCAAGAGTTTGTCCATGAAAAACCAGAGAAGAGAAACTGGGAAACAGAACAAGACAAGACACAGCATCGAACTGTAGGTGTAAGAATGGAGTTTCCGGTATTGCTTTGCTCCAAATGCTTGCCCACATAGAGTTTCAAGTGCTCCTGCCAAACCAAACTGATAACAGGCAATGTAGTAAAGTTCACTGTCAGAATCAAGAACCGAGAGAGAGAGAGAGAGAGAGAGAGAGAGAGAGAGAGAGAGAGAGAGAGAGTACGAGGAGGCTGAAACCGGTGACGTTGGTCAAGGAAGTGGCTATGGCGACGGAGGAAAGAGAGAGTTGGTCCAAGTGACCGACCATAACCACAGCCACGACCTGAAGAAGGTATTGAGAAACAGCCACAGCCACCATTGGAGCAGCCATGAAGCTCACCTTCTTCATCATCTCCATTCCAAAACCCTTCTTCTCTGTACTTCCTCTTACATCTCCCCATTCTTCTTCTCCTTCCTCTTCCTTCGGCACCAACGAAAACCCTTTTTCCATCTTTGGATTACACTTTCAGATGGACGGATTATTCACATTAAATCCGAAAAAAAAAGTCAATGATTTGGTGCTTAGATTTTGTGAAACCTAAATAAACAAAGACCATTTGGGTCTGAATTTCTTAAAACGTTACGAGCAATTCGCGGAGAGAATAAATATGACCGTTGACTCTCCAAGCTCTGACTTCGCATTTGAAGTTATAACAAAAGGGATTAGGTGCGTTCTTTAATGATTTCTGTTTTCCTTATCATATCAATTATACACAAAACGTTACAGCATTCACTCGTACTTTTGTTACTTGTTCTTCAAGAAACCGATTGGTCATTCCTCCAAGTTTTTTAACACCAAACTTATCGATTTTCTCCTTTTTTTTTTGCGTATCCAAATAACACTATCACGTTGAATAAATAGCATGTGTAATTGTGAAAAAAGAAGAACACTATATCAATGTACACAACAGTCCATCTAAAGCTTATCCTCAAGTAATTTTAAAAAAAGGGTTAATAAACTCACACTCTATCATGTTGGGGAAGTAACATGAAATTTGCAATGTTACTTGTCTTTTTTTTTTGGGGATTTTTCAGGCTAAGCCCTCAGGACCCATCACTCTTCTCATTTTCCCAGGAGGTGACAATACTGCAGGACTACTCCCCTGTGGATTTTGATCAAACCCTTTTGAATCAAAGGCGTCTCCTTTTGAAGCTGGAATCTGAAGCTTCGATGGCTCTGTCGGTGATGGTGAATTCGAGAAGTACCTGAAGAAGAAAAAAATATGAAAAAGATCGATGGAAATTGTCAGTGTCCATGGAGGAGATATCGATACGGATTAGTCTCTGTTAAGAATTGTCCTGTTTCTGAACAAAAGAATCCGGTTGGTTTTCCGTGCACGTTTTTCTTCCAAGTCCAAAATATGTCTCGGTAACGGAAAAATTGAACTGTGTATAAATCGGCCTACCTACCCATGTTGTCTCTTACCTTTTTATCGGTTTTTTGGGAAACTGAGTAGGGGAGTGCAGTAAGCCATTCATGTTTCAAAACCTCTAATGGTTCGGTAAGATAGGGAAAAGTAGAACTCTTGAGAACATAACAAATTTATGCTTATTCCTTAAAAGTTTCGGTTGTGTACTAACCTGTGGTCAAGAGCTTGTTGTATTGAGATCCTTTGTCTTGGATCATAAGTGAACATTTTCGCTAGAAGATCCAAGGCATCATCGCTTGCCATAGGGAACAAGGAACGCAAAGGTGGAGCAGGCGAATAGGAGAATTCAATGTAGTCTGGGAGATAGATCATGTCAGGCCAATGTGAAGGTGTTGGAGTTCCAAACGCTTGAAAGATCTTTCCTAATTGATCGATGTCGGTATTACCCTGATGAAAGAGAAGAAACGGAGTGGGACAAAAAAAGCGTATTTGTTCAAGAAATATTTTCTTCCCCACCCGAGAAGAAACAGGACATAAATAATCCTGCATCTTATGAGGTGTAATTTTAAGATGGACAGTTTAAATGATTTACAGTGAGATCAAAATAAACTGTTCACTTTGAATATGGAGATTTTGGAGAAAGGTTTGTACACCAATAATTTCAGTGAAAGAAAATTTCGTTTAATTTTTGCTGTTTAATTTTTGCTTTTGTAAGCAGAATGAAATATAAGCAAATGGAATATCAAGACATTCCTGAATATATGAAGAAACAAGGAGCTGAAAAGCAAAGGTATTCAGTGTTACCGGTAGGAATGGTCTACGAAGGAGTAGCTCAGCGAATATGCAGCCTGCAGCCCAGACATCAACTCCCGGTCCATACTGTCTGCTTCCAAACAGCAGTTCAGGCGCTCTGTACCATCTAGCAAATACCTATCCAGAAGGAAGTTGTAAGTTGTTGGCCAAACCCAATCATCACCCCAACCAAATCTTATTATCCAAGTGTTAAGAGTCAATTTCTAGAGAGATACCTGATGAGTGAATCTCCGATCTGGACTCCCGAACAACCGAGCCAACCCAAAATCAGCTAGTTTCAACAAACCATTTTCTCCAATCAATAAATTGTTAGGCTTCATATCCCTAGACAAACCAGAGGACCATTAGCCCCAGAGGTTCCAGCAAAAGGTAAAGATAAATAAGGCTTTGCGAATGCTGAAGCAGCAATGACCTGTGCAGGACCCATTTCTTGTGACAATAAGCAAGACCCTTCAACGTCATCGACATATAGGATTTTATATCTGATGGGGAGAGGAAAATATTACGATCACGAATCACTGCTTCCAAATCCGTCTGCATATACTCGAAAACAAGGTGCAAACTTCCCTTGTGAGGAAATGCATCAATGAGTTCGACAATATGAGGGTGACTCAGCTCCTTGAGCAGCTTAATTTCCCTAAGCGCCGTGAAATTAATCCCTTCCTTTTGATTTCCTAACCTAATCTTCTTAATTGCGACAGTCTTCCCTGTCTACAACAAATCGAACCAGAGGTAAAGATGGTATCCATAATCAGAATCAAAACAACGACGACGAAGGAATGATGTATGAAAACCCCCCTTAAAAAAGTTAGATCAACACGTTGAGAAACGAAGAATATTCGCAGAACAATGCCATTCAAGTGAACCTATCAAGCGAAGAGCGTTGAACCAGATGCTAAATAATCAAGGCAGATTCAGGAACAGTATACAATACTTCGCGAATGGATCAAACGAACAGATTCAAGCAAAGACTTCAGGGAAATCGGATGGAACAACGAGAACATAGAGAAATCGAATCGGGAGGGTTTGGTCACTGACCTTTGTGTCGATGGCCTTGTAAACAACACCATATGTGCCTTCACCGAGAATTTGACGCTTCAGATAACGATCAACCTGCTGAATTTTCGCCGTGAAATCATGGGGCTCGCCGGACTTCGACATTGATTCTCTCCTCCGTTCTACAGATTCCATCACTTCACCGAAACGTAGGACAAGACCACTAAAAGTAGACTGCTCTATGCGTTTGTATCTCAAACAACCCCTTCATTATTAACATTTTATGAAATGAGCCCCTATGTTTTAATAGTGTCAGAAACAACCCATACTCTGTGAATCTTGTGTGCTTACCCATATATTTCATTGAGTTATTACGCCGGAGGGGAGGACAAGACCGTTACTCCATGTTGTCTTTCCTTCTGTATAATCTTTGATCTTTGCAGAGAGAGAGAGAGAGAGATAACAGAAACTACAAAACCCTGAAAATTCTGGGTGTAAAATGCTTTGACCCATCAAATTGAGTTCAAAATCTGAACCAGAACAAGAACATATTCCATAGTTTCAAGAATCACTGTCACTAACACCTCTACAAATGAGTAGCACAAACAGCAGCTAATGTTCAAGAAAGAAACCGAAAAAGCTGGATCTTTTGAGTTGTATGGAGATGATATAGCTCAAGCAGCTTTCGGTTAGCTATGACTCAAGACTCTAGAATCAAGAATCCTCGGACTTTGGTGGCGGATCAGGCAAAGCCGGCGGTTCTCCATTCACATCAGAGTCATCAGATGGTTCGGGTGGAGGAGGCACATCACTACCAGTTTGCTCATCTTCTGGGTGAAAATTGATAGGGAACTTGGTTACTCTTGGCTTGTCGGAGAGAATGTTCCTCTGGACCTTATCGATCAAAACCTTAGGTGGAGGCTCTTCTCTGAGTTGTTCATCGTCATAATCGTTGTTCACATAGTAACCAACCCTTACGAATTCCTGACCCATGTATGAGCACGTTAAGAGAAGCACGGTTACGCCAATGATGTCTTCCTCACGGATCTTTGATGGATCTGGAGGGTCAACCTATGAGATTTTTCCAACAAAAAAAAAACAGAGAAGAAAGTGAGACATATTCTAAGACAGAACCAGAGCTGAAAAAGGGAAAATAAAACAATGTATGATGTACCTGAAACACAAACCGGTAGTTCCCGACATTAACAGGTCCAACAAGCACACTCTCTAGGAGTTGATCATAGGTCTCGTCCTCTGCTGAGCCCACATAGATAAGCTTCCATTCCAAATCTGTACCGAAATCTTGAGTTAGCAAAGAATTGGGTCGGCAAAAACCAAGCAGATGACTGAGCCTAAAGAACCCACTATCCCTGAAAACTAAATTTAGTCTCTTGCCCAATCACTTGCAAACAATACGACCAGCTAAACTAGCAATCACTAAATCTGAGCAAACAAGCAACGGGTGTATAACTGTTAGGTAAGTACAGCAAGAACACGTAGATATAACAGGAAGAACAATGGATGGGGTCATTCATGCCTGTTGAAAACAAATGCATGTAAACTAACCATAATTATAAAAAAAAGCAAAGGGTTCTCAGGGGATCAAAGCCATTAAGACGCATCATCTCCAAAATACGACAATACCAAATCACTAAGAGAGCTAACACCTGTTCATTTGCAATGAACATACAAGATCATTCCAACCAACAAAACAATGCAGAAAGCTGGACTCAAAAACCACCATCTTATGGGTTTTTTTTAGCACAGACCAGGAAAAATTCGTGAGACCTCATATGTATGAGGACAGATTATAAAACACGGAACTTGCTTAGCCATGGAAAATCAGTTTCAGAACCAGCATCCCACTAGTACAACATAGAAAAATAAAAGCCAAAACCTTCTAATCGCCATACCAAACAAGCATAGTGAAACGGGTAAAGAAGAAGCTGAAAAAGGTAAAACAAGAAATTTGTCATCAAAACCTATTTTTCAACCGAGCCATTTCAGAGCATCTTTCCACCATAAGACAATCACTTACGGCGCTAATTCGCAGCACCATATATAACTATGACACTGCAACGAATCAATGGCTCAGGCCCTCTATCATGTGATGTGACTAAAATGCAGAACAAGAACAGCAGATGGCAAATTCAAGCCTTATTTTGCTGTTCTTGACAAAATAAGATACCCATTTAAGCCTCATTTCAGTTCTCAACTGTTAATCTCTCTTCAACCCTTTTGTCATCAACCAAGGAAGAATCATCACAATCAGTTTCAATCAGCAGAGAATCTCTAGCGACAACCCACGTCCAAATAATGAACTAAATCAACATTAAACCGCGAAAAGCAAGCACAAACACAATCTCCACGAATCAAACGCTATACACCTCGAGAGAGAGAGAGAGTGTGTACCATCTTTGAGAGGGGTCAAGCACTCGTACGAAATCTCGAACTGGAAAGGCGTAAGAAACGGCGCCGGATTGTCCAAAACGGTGACGTTGGTAATGTTGACGGCGCTCATGGTGATCAGGAAATACGAGAATTCACCTCCTTGTTCGCATAGGCTTCAGGTAGAACCCTAGATTCCAGAAACTTCATCGAACTTCAAGGACACCCAGTACGGGCTCGATTTTTAAAACACTAGAAAAGGAAAAATCAGCCCAAGACCGCCCACCTGGCGAGAAAACTAGGGTTTTAAATTTCTCGAGAAACAAACAACAAAATAATCCTCGGGGATTCAGGAGGAAGATAAATCGGCGGCAACAGAAACTGGGCGATGAAACGATCTGAGGCTCCTAGTGAAGGGAATGTCCCAATTCGGAGACGTTCTTAGAACCGGTTTCTGTGGGGTCGGTGACCGGCTATCGCCGGTTACCTGATTTGGCGGGAGAGCATTAGCCCCACGAAAATGGTGGAGGGGGGAAAACTATTGAAATTTTAGGTCAAAGTTATATGGCCTCGAATCTTTTTTTTTTTTGCCAAGCTTAACACTTGTTATATAACTATATTAATCTATTTTCTTTTTGCAACGATTTTCTTAAGCAAAGCCACAATAATTATAAGGCAACAAATTTTATTTTTATGATGGATATTCAAATACATATCGTTCAGTAGTGATATATAATCGTTATGAATGAAAATTGTAAAATTATGTTGCGGTTTTTACGTTTTTGTTTTGTCATTTGTACCAAAAAAATTCCCATAGGAAACGCCAAAACGATTCCAATTTGTGTATAAAATGATGATAAAGTTTTTTTTTATAATCCGAATGTTTATCGGATCTTCGATCCAACTATATCTCTCGTAACACTGGAAAAGTCCGAATGAAAATCTCTTTCCAAATAAAGTCTCGAATCTGAATTGGAAAGTAAATTTACTTCGTTATTTACAATTTGAGTCATCTAATCTTAGATATGATGATCAAATCCATTCGTTTAGAATGATTAATAATACGGGTGGACATTTTATCCCGTAATCCGGAGATTTGGAGATACCCAACTTAACAAGTATCCAAATAAAAGGTACCGAATATTAACGATGATGGGATCGAATATTAACAAGCTAAGTTTTCGACTGTTGAGTTCGAATTCGGGTTTCAATTATTTTACAAAAGATACCCGATATATTTGTTAAAATATCCTTTATATTTATAATATTTATCTAAGTTATTCTTATTATTTAGTAAAATACTTTTATTTAGTTAATTTTTTTTTTATCTTCTAAACCTTTTTATCTAAAAATTTCATCATTCCAAATCCTATTTTTTTTCTTCTATACCACCGAATCAATCATTCATCTCTCTCTCTCAAAGTTTTACTTATCTCTTTTCATTGTGAACTTTTCTCTTTATAATTTAATCTCTCTCATTTGTTTCTCTATCTCTATCATTTCATGTTCAGATTTCATGTTCAGAATTTTATAAGCTGTATAGGTCCGGATACCTACGAGTACAAGACCGAGAATCTCATTAAAACCGAGTTACAAGTACTCGGATTTTATGAAGTAAAGAGTGAGATAATTTTTTGTAAAATCCGTGGTGATGAAGACGAGACAAGATTTTCTAAAAAGTGGGGAGTATCCGACCCGTGTCCACCCCTTATTAACAGTAAGGGGTTTGGTTTGATATTTGTTTGTATTCGTTTTTATTAAGACAGAGATCATTTTGTAAGATTTTTTTTTTCTAAAAAAAATTCGATTTGAATAATTTCTATTTTGTGATACCTCCTTCATTCACATACACGCTCACAATATATTTCTTTCTGATTACTGTGATAGATGTCTATTTATTCCTCCGTTTGTATCCTTTAGCCTTCTCAACAGTGGCAACATATCAGTCTTGTCATAAAAGGGGGATATTACAAAAATACCTTTAAATGTCGATTTCACTTACATGACATACCCTTCAAAAAAAAAACCTTCAAACAAAAACTGTAAAAGAATGAAAAGACATCGTTACCCCTTTTAAAAAATACACGTGTCAACATCTGAAGGAGAAAGACCAAATATTGAGAAGTTACTAAATTAAAAAAATTTGAAAAACCAAACAGTTTTTTTTCCCCTTTTCGACAGACACTTTCATTTCTTCATAGTGTCGTTTCTTCTTCTTCATTTTCTCTTCACTCTGATTTTTCT